GCTCACTTTCCTTTAGTATAAATAAAATCTATGATAATGAATTTTGCTTTCCAAGGAAAAAGTAGAAGATAAATTTTTAATTTCTTTGTTGGTAAAACAAAATAATCACCCAATTCAGTTTCACAGTTCAAATTTCAAATTTCAAATCAAACAAAAGTAAAAGGTTATAAACATAAACACGTGAAATTATGCTTTTGGAGTAATAATGGTGTATAGTTTCTCAGTTGGAAAATAATAATAATAATAAACATGTGAAATTATGAATCAGCAATTTGATCTTTGGTAAAACCTTACGTTAAGTATCGAAGTTATCCTAAATTCTTAATTAAATTATTAAAATTTTATTGAAATAAATAAAATTTTAAAATTGTCGATATGAGTAATTTAACCTTTTTCATTATGGCAGAGTTGACACTCGTTTGTATCTTACTTGCACGAATAAAATTAATACCTGCCATGTAAGCAATGACATATCAACTCTTTGTCCATGCAAGCGATGTATAAACTAGTGTTAAATCTACAATATAGAAAATGAATTAAATTGCCCAGATTACAAAATTTAGGGACCTATTTGCTTCAATAAAAATTTAAGAGTTTAATCTAGAATCTGGAGTAAATTTATGGGCTTAACATATGGTTTTGCCTTCATCTTTTTGGTTTCTGGATTAAAGAGATTGGTTTGAGCCTAGTTCAGTTCCAAACCATATTGGGTCAAATTATACACAATGGCGAAGTCTTTTTAAAGTCCATTCATCATCTCTGTTTGGATTACCTTTTCAGCTTACAAAGGTCAAAGGCTGAGTTCAGTTCAATTGGACATTTCAGATTTCAGCCCAATTTCCATTTTGGAACACAATTCAAAAATAACATCTTCAAGAGAAAAAAAATATATATATATTATGTAATTTGAATTTAATAATTTAAATTATTAAATAATGATAAATCTTTTGATGTTTAGAGGTTTTTTTATTAATTATATTTATTTTATAGTTTAATATAATTTAAATTATAACACAAAATTTTTTATTGTCAAAATCTTGGAAAATTCAGTCTGTTTTAATTACTAATAATGTAATCTAAAATGTGAAATCGAAACTTAGATTGAGCAAAAAAAAATTTGTTTATGTTTTGTAGTCTCATCATAGGGCAAGAGACGGTCCATTTGAAGTGAATGATGTTTTGGCAAATAATAAATGCGGGTTCCAGCCATCGCCTTGCTCTCTTATGGATTCTTCAACGCAGGCGTTGTTCACGGCCGGAACTCTGTTTTGGTGCCGTGAGGCTTATAAGAAAATTTGATTAATATGGTTTAAAGTTTTGCCTTTTTCTTCTTTAGGATTTTTTAATCTATATCCTTAAAATAGAAATTAAATCTTATTAATTATAATATCTTTAATTATTTTTTTTATAAATTTTTATATTAATTTTAATTAAAATAAAATATAAAATTAAAATAAAATTTTTAAATTAATTTTTTTTATAAATTTTTATATTAATTTTAATTGAAATAAAATATAAAATTA